CGCGTTTAGCAGACTGAACCGTTGTGGAGCGGATTGGTGAGCGCTTACTGCATTGGTATAATTTTTTAAATCAGCCAATAGCAGCGAGCGCTCACAGATCCGCTCCGCAACAGTTGAGTCTGCTGAACGCGACCATTTTTAATTGATAACCTATTTATCTTTCTGCCGTAGAACAAAGAGCAATCAACGGTGGATGAAATTACGCACAACTGTACAGCTGTCCTCCGCAATGTCAAAAAAACCGCCTCTTAAACGCGAAGATTCAATTCTGAAAAGGTTTTCTACCCGACCAAGACCGAGAAGTCAAGAGACCCTCAACAACACCGAAGGCGAAGATGATACGTCCAACAGCAGTAGGAAAAAGAAAAAGAAACGATCTCGCAAGCGATCTCGCAGGTCTCGAAAATCGTCCAGAACTGTCATCAATCCGGATGAAAATGTGTACTATTACTGGCTAATGGTGGTGTCAGTGTGCGTCCTGTACAATCTCTGGGCACTAATCGTGCGTCAAAGTTTACCGGAATTGAACGAACTAGTGTACATTACTTGGTTAATGCTTGACTACTTTAGTGATGTTGTGTTTATCATGGATGTAATTGTGCAGTTTCGTACCGGTTATTTGGAGCAGGGACTCATGGTTTACGATGGATGGAAACTGGTTGGACACTATCTGTTCTCTAAGTTTTTCTTTCTGGACATATTTGCATTGACACCGCTCAATGTGTTCGGACTGGATGTCAGCAACAACCCCATATCGAGATTTCCTCGATTTCTGAAAATTTATCGACTGTACTACTTTTATTACATGGTGGAATCGCGCACAGTTTATCCGAATTTCTGGCGCGTACTGAATCTCATCCACATCCTGCTTATATTGGCGCACTGGTTTGGTTGCTTCTACTACCTGCTGAGTGAGGCTGAGGGCTTCAAAGGGGAATGGGTTTACCCGTATCGGCCCGGTAAATATTCTACCCTGGCTCGGAAATATCTTGCTTGTTTATATTGGGCCACGCTGACACTGACAACTATAGGAGATCTTCCTACGCCAGAGACCAACGCCGAGTGAGTAACATAATGATAAATCTTCGGAATAGGGGAAGCAACTCCGATCTTCTTGACCTTGACAACATATGTCAAGGTCAAGAAGATCAGAGCTGCTTCCCCTATTCCGAAGATTTACCCTTATCTTTTCTAAGTTAGTTAATAAATTTAGATGCCTAGGCATCCCGAGGCAACAACATATAGACGGAGCATGAGCTACTACTTTAGGCAAGGGAGGGCGGAATAATCGGGGCAAGACGGAAGCACTCCCACCACAGCCCAATTAGGGCAACTGAGGGCACATCGGCTTATTTCGCCGAGACTTGTTAACATTCGGCTACTTCGCCTTTTACTCTGACATATTTATCAACGGTTCTCATCCAATTCTCATCTCATATCTGTTTGGATCTGTTTACGGCATTTTACAGCAATGTTACGTTTCTAAAAATGAGTGTCTGTGTTGTTTCTGAACATATTCGAGTCACGACGAAACTAGTCATTTCAAAGGGGAATGGGTTTATCCGTATCGGCCCGGTAAATATTCTACTCTGGCTCGGAAATATCTTGCTTGTTTGTATTGGGCCACGCTGACACTGACAACTATAGGAGATCTTCCTACGCCAGAGACCAACGCCGAGTGAGTAACATAATTTGCATTCTTGAATCAACTTTGTTTGTATTTGACGGTCAGATTTATAAGCAAAGTTATGGGACACCTATGGGTTCTCCTCTATCTCCAGTTTTGGCAGATTTAGTCATGCAGGACCTTGAGAGGGAGGTGTTGGGCACATTTGATTTTCACATCCCGTTTTCACATACCCTTATCTTTTCTAAGTTAGTTTATTAATAAATTTAGATGCCTAGGCATCCCAAGGAATTAGAATCTTATTATTGTTTTGACAGAGACCAAACGAGTCGTGCTATCAGGAGCCTCGCTCGTCGGCAAACCAAGATTCTACAGTTTCAGCATAATTCTGGGTATGGGTATCGTTTCGAAATAGAAAAAAAAATAAGAGCACGCAAACTCCAATTTTAATTTTATTCACACCTAACACCCTCTTCAAATTTTAGTGCGCACTCGCACCACTAGGGAATCTCGCCTAAGAGGCCCGCTCGCTAAAAACCCCCGCCGAAGTCCGCGGCTCCGTCAACTCGTGATGCCCGTGATTGTTGGCCGCCGCCTCTCCCCGCTCAGCCTGCCACAAATACAGAAACTCACGCTGACACACATACACTGAACACACCACTATTCAGAACCTTCCTATTCTTCTGTCCCTCACGAAGATTTTCCCTTAAATCTTACCACATATCCGCTCCTAACTCTCCTTGACACCCCCTCAATTTCCCCTCTCCCAATGAATGAGCGATTCCCTCCCATCTCCCTCGACGACATTCCCACTCCCCTTTCGCCCCTTGAACCCTATTTGCCTCCCCCTAACACCACCTCCTCTTCCACTCAAACTCTCTCCCCGCCAATAACAGAACCCTATTTGCCTTACCCTAACACCACCTCCTCTTCCACACAAACTCTCTCCCCACCAATAACAGAACCCTATTTCCCTCCCCTCAACACCACCTCCTCTTCCACACAAACTCTCCTCGCCAGTGTCAGAACCTCATTTACCTCCCCCTAACACCATCTCCTTCCCCTCACAAACTCTCTTCCCCCCAGAGCGGGTGACAGAAACCCAATTACATCCCCTTAACACCACCTCCTTCCCCTCGCAAACTATCTTCCCCCCAGAGCGGGTGACAGAACTCCAATTACCTCCCTCTAACACCACCTCCTCCTGCTCACTGACTCTTCCTCCGCCAGAGCAGGTAACCATAGTGTACACGCACCGGCAGAAATGCTGTCCCTCGGCGTTCGGCGCGCGGCGCTACACACTCGTACCGAGCGCACACGTACGTGTTACTGGGAGCGCGGAGGAGGCGTGGAGCGCGGAGGGAGAAAGTAGTGGGGCGCGCTCCGATATTCTATCCTTAGCGTAAGGCGCACGATCGAGAGAGAAAGCGTAATTGGACGTGGATGCCTGCTCGCGGTGTCCTTTCGCTGTCTCACACATTTGTTACTAGTACGAGTGAGATACTCCGGTGTCTTTCGCTTGTCAATATTCATAATAATACTTTTATTACACACAAAATATTGTAATTATGCATAAAAATTTTTAAAATGTATACACTCCTATATGTATACTGATGTATACCTCCCTGGAATGACCATTCCCTTTTTTTATTCCTCTGAGCACTCTCCGACCCGTATTCCCCTGTTCTTGCCGAAGAAACCCCTCTTAATTCCTCTCTCGCTCCCTCTTCTCCCGTCCCTTACACGAACACACACACACATGACGATTTTGTATTATTTTATTTTATAGAGGCCCCCTCGCTAAGAAGGATAAAAGATAGAGTATTGTTAAGTACTACGTTAATTAACAATACGCAGGACATAGAAAATGGGACCCGCCGGAGTTCGCAGCTCCGTCAACCTTTGACTCCCCCTCGATTTCCCCTCTCCCAATGAATGAGCGATTCCCTCCCATCTCCCTCGACGACATTCCCACTCCCCCTTCGCCCCTTGAACCCTATTTGCCTCCCCCTAACACCACCTCCTCTTTCACACAAACTCTCTCCCCGCCAATAACAGAACCCTATTTGCCTTACCCTAACACCACCTCCTCTTCCACACAAACTCTCTCCCCATCAATAACAGAATCCTATTTCCCTCCCCTCAACACCACCTCCTCTTCCACACAAACTCTCTCCTCGCCAGTGTCTGAACCCTATTTACCTCCCCCTAACACCACCTCCTCCCCCTCACAAACTCTCTTCCCCCCAGAGCGGGTGACAGAACCCCAATTACATCCCCCTAACACCACCTCCTTCCCCTCGTAAACTCTCTTCCCCCCAGAGCGGGTGACAGAACCCCAATTACCTCCCTCTAACACCGCCTCCTCCTCCTCACTGACTCTTCCTCCGCCAGAGCAGGTAACCATAGTGTACCTCCCTGGAATGACCATTCCCTTTTTTGTTCCTCTGAACACTCTCCGACTCGCATTCCCCTGTTCCTGCCGCAGAAACCCTTTTGTAAAAATATGACACCTCCCTTACCGCGAGACGTCACCAAGCAATTAATATATAAACACGAGCATTGTAAACCACCATTTTTCCTTCTGAAAATCATCCAAGGTAAGAAGTTCGCTAGCTGCACGTGTGTGTTATAAGTCTAATCAGAGTCGCAGTATCGACTGATATACTGACGGATGCTGGTTATAGACGGCGTTCGAAACGAAAAGAGAGTTGCTGAGACCAGCGAGATGATTCCCGCGAAATAACCAACTCCAGTCAGCGACGGTGGTGTTGGACAAACATGACGTAAATCAACCCAGTCTGTCTATTTGTATCGTTACCAGAGAGTTCGCTAGCTGCACGTGTGTGTTACAAGTCTAATCAGAGTCGATGTATTCTTGCATCTTGATTATAATCCTAATTATAGTCCTTAATATTTTGATGCACGCACCGAAAGATGGTTTCGCGCCATAGTTATCATAAAAATTATCTAGATTTTCAGTAAATTCTTGCATATCATCATACAAGGTTGATTCGAAAAACGCTAGTGAAAAGGCTTTGATACTGCAGCTGTTTCTGCAATTACAAGACATTGAATTAAATTCATTACGTGGATAAATATTTATTGTTTAATTTAATTGACATAACAAAAAATGAATATTTTGTATAACATTTTTAAACTAATTTATTTTATACTACAGTTTTCTTATTTTTATATTATGTTAATTTTAACCTTATTTATTTTAATCTTATTTTTATAAAGTATCTTAACATATCATTACATCATTATGTTTTATTTACGTATCATATAAATTACTATCATATAAATTTCTGTTTTGTTTTTGAAGAAACAATTATTATATTTTTTCAAAATCATCACAACCCTTTCAGCAATACGATCAACAAGAGACTCGTCTGAATGAACACCACCACCATGACCACCATCAAGAAACTTCCCAACAACATCAACATGCTCCTCCACCGAAGCACCACTACGCAAGGCCAAACTCTCCCCTCTCTAGTATCCCAGGAGCGGTCACCAAACCGAAAACAACATCCACCAACATTACCACGACCAGCCTCACCAGTTCCGAAGAACCGTTCGAACAACGCCGATTCGGCGATTGCATATTTTTTGAAAAAACGTTGCCGGCTTTGACTGAGCCATATGAATCAAATTAAGACGTGATCTGGCCGTATTGCCTCTACGGCAACTACAAACAAGAATCCTCACTATACATATGTATAAAAGAAAAACACAACGCCCAGCAAACCAACCCCTCTAACAATGCCCCCACACCACGCACAGCAGATCCCACCCGCTGCGTTCCTCTCCGCCCACCACCCCTCCCCGCGAAGCCCTGATTTTGTGCGGTATATACGTGTCGTGAGGTACGTGACGCCGAACGTCGGTAGTGTGTTACTCTAGTAAGGTGCGTTCCACTTAATACCCACAACGATTGCGAAATCATTTTGTTATTTATCAAATGTCAAATAAAGAAAAACGATGCTCGTGATCGTTGCGAGTGTTAAATAGAACACAGCCATAGTAAAAACAGTGACGCCTTTCTTTAAGCAATGTAAGAGCTTGGCCGAGAAAAAATGGTCAAGCTTGATGGAAGGTACACAATGTCAGGCGCTCCATCGGTGCCGGGACCTAAACCGAGGCCTCGAGTCGTCCAAGTAACCGTCTCGTCGCAGAGCCACTGAGCCACACAGTCCGACTATATCAGATATCTTACAGCAGTCTATTCAGTTGGCCGATCGACCTTATTGCTATGGAAGCCAGTTACCTCCCTGTTTCCATAAGCCGGATCGGAAAGAGCCCTATGTGAGTACACACATTTTTTTTTTATTTTTTTTTTTTAACTAACTTGATCAGGTTATTCCTTTAATCCTTGTTCATGTGGTTATAAGATGGCCGATAGAATCAAGCTTTTGATACAAAAACGAACGTCGTTGAAATCGCAAATAACTAATTTAACAAATTTAGTCCGCCTCCAGGAGATTCCACAGGAAACTCCACCGTGGATCGTGTCGTGAGGGACCGATCGCCGCTACCTTGTCTCAGCCTCCAAGTAAGATTATATTTTTTTTTGGATTCCCTTTCTTACCCCTTTCACTTCCCCAAAAAGGAGTATGCGTATTAAATATTGTGCACGCAAACTCCAATTTTAATTTCATTCACATCTAACACCCTCTTCAAATTTTAGTGCGCACTCGCGCCACTAGGGAGTCTAAGAGGCCCCCTCGCTAAGAATCCCCGCCGGAGTCCGCGGCTTCGTCAACCCGTGATGCCCGTGATTGTTGCGCCACCGCCTCTCCCCGCTCACCCTGCCACAAATACAGAAACTCACATTGACACACACCATTATTCAGAACCTTCCTACTTTTCTGTCCCTCACGAAGATTTTACCTTAAACCTTATCACATATCTGCTCCTAACTCCCTTTGACTCTCCCTCGATTTCCCCTCTCCCAATGAATGAGCGATTCCCTCCCATCTCCCTCGACGACATTCCCACTCCCCCTCCGCCCCTTGAACCCTATTTGCCTCCCCCTAACACCACCTCTTCCACAACAAACTCTCTCCCCGCCGATAACAGAACCCTATTTGCCTTCCCCTAACACCACCTCCTCTTCCACACAAACCCTCTCCCCACCAATAACAGAACCCTATTTCCCTCCCCTCAACACCACCTCCTCTTCCACACAAACTCTCTCCTTGCCAGTGTCAGAACCCCAATTACATCCCCCTAACACCACCTCCTTCCTCTCGCAAACTCTCTTCCCCCCAAAACGGGAAACTTCAGAAACTTTGGTTTACATGATGGAAAGAAAATGTCTTCTGCAACCTTTAAACATGTTGATATTCTTTCAAAATCATCCTGTACTGCACAAAATCTTAGGTCTGATTTTTAAATTAGTCAATTAGCGAGCAATGTGTACAATCGTACATGTAGGTAACGTCGGAGCCTTCCAAAAACATAATGAAACCTCTGTTTTATTTCAGAAATTTTAACCTATCTGGCAAAAAAGGAATTAACACAGATAACATGTGTAGTGTATAAGAGTCAGCTGTGAATGTGTACAACGGGCATGACTGACGCCTCGGAGCGTGAGCGAATATGTAGCGATGAGCGCGCAGGCACTCGGGATTCAGTCGCGCTAGCGGAAGCCACGCCTGAGGCAATCGTCCGAAACCACGTTTTCATATGTACTTTATTTTGCATATATATATATATATATATAAGAAAGCCCCCTATTATGAGATAGGCGCTTAACATGAGATAGCGGCGTTTCTGCTAAACTAATAAATGCTATCTGTTGATTCTATCATGAAATTATTGCTCTTGGATTGAAAATTATTTAGTGGAAAATTCATTGTTAGATCATGCCTACAGTAATTGTAAGATAAAATTTTAGAGTTTGAATGTTTTCAAGTTTCATTGAAATAAGCCTTTAATCTTTGTTTATTATTTAATAAGTAATTATTTGGCAATAAATT